TCCCTCCAAACGAAATTGACATTTTCAGAACAAAAACGAAGTTACAATATTCTGTTGTTGCCCCATGGCAAAGGATCAAGATACAAGTCCATGGGGTAGATGATTGCAATCGGCCTCCTTTGTTGAAGATTTCAAGAATATGGAGATTCCTTCAGTAGGGGATTACGATGGGATTTATTCTGTAAGGGAATCTAGTAGCATTGCTTCTGATATTCCTTCCAGGATGGCTTCAACAAGTTCCTTCTGTGCAATATTCGAGCAGGATTCTTGCCTTGTAACCCTCCGCAAGCAAGGATCCGAATGCAATCCTCCAGAGGAGGACTGGTATTGTAATCTTTTGAAATTCAGCAGCCCTGGTTCCGGCATCTCTTCTCAAGTTTTAATTCGTTCAAGACCCAACAAGTTTTTGCAGTGCGTACTGCGCCGATCCGAAAGTTCCCCAAACTTCTCCACCGTGCTCGCCGCGGCCATCTGGGGTAGCGCGCGCAGGAACCGGAAAAGACCCGCGGGGCCCGAGGGCGGATGGGGGCGATTTCGCGAGGGCAGAGTCGGCGCGCCGATGGGCAGCCCAGTACCCCGTTTGGCCGGAAGGCCTAGTACAATGCAAGGGCAGAGCCTGACCCCCTCCTGGGGTCGCGGGATCGGGCTCCCCTTTCCAAATACAATTTTTGAATCCCAAACGGTGTATTGACTCGAAAATGATTCGGTCATGCGACGACCTGAAAAGTTGACCGGCCGGCCTGAAAGTGGCCAAATCCCATAGGATTTGTGCCAAGACAAATTTCGGGTCCGTTTTGAACGACCCGAACATGCGCAAACCGCCTAGGACTCCTTGCGAAAACACAAAAACGGTTTCTCGGTGGTTCTGGGCTTCGTCCGAAGGAGCCGCCGATGGGCAGATCGTTCAGGACTTCTGCCCAAGAAACGGTTTCCCGGGTGAGCCATTGTCAACGGGAACGCGCCCCGCGCGGGGTCAGGATTCGCACGGGGGCGCGGTTGCTTTCGCCTGTCCACGGGGCACGCATTGCCGCGCCTTTCCAGCATAGCGTTTGCGCTGCACTCGCGCGGCGCAGCGCCTTTCAAATCAGAATAAACTTTCGAAGCGCCGACGTATTTGGAACAAATCGACTCGAGGTTTCGCCTGAGACCGCCTCCGACCTTTACATATCCAGTGTTCTCACCCTGTGTGGAATTCTGGAGATGGCCCGAACGAAAGTTTATTTTTCAATGCTTCGCTTTTTTTGGGCCGAACCAACATTTCGCTAGAGTCCAGAATTCGACATCATGCAACCTAATGGGCTTTTACAGATCGGACTCCGAAACTAGTGACGATCTACCAGCTCCTGGGTTGCTTAATGATGCAGGGTTGCACATGCATTATTTCGCGCTCCTCGTGCAGATGATTGCAGTGCAACGCCTTGTGTAGAGTACTACGTTTCGCATTTGTTGTTGAGAGGGTTCCATGAGGGGTCCTTCCGAGGGGGAAGGCATTCGGATTCCTGTTGCAATCTTCCGCAACAAGGAATCCTGTTCCAACCCACGTGCGTGATGAATTGTGTTGCCATCCGTTGCAAAAACCGCCAGGAACCTGCCAGTTGTTTTCAGTATTTGTTTCGACGAATGTATATGATTCGGGGGAATCGAACAACAAACAGATTCGCCGGGGCCCTCTTCCAAACTTTACCAGTCGAGTGATGTCGTCTGGTATGGACTTCGGAACAACATCCAGCAACATGTTGTCAGTGTTGTTTATTCTCGTATAGAAAAAAGGCATCCATTCGCTTGAAACTTGGACTTTGCACGAGGCAAACCCACCGAACATGAGGATTGATATGGGATGTAAGAAAAGAGGATGGGGGAGGGGAGGCCCCCCGGGCGGCATGGCGTCGCGGTACCGCGGGAGGCGGAAGAGGAGGAGGAGGAGGAGGAGGAGGAGGAGGAGGAACAGGAGGAGGAGGAGCAGGAACAGGAGGAGGAGGAAGAGGCGGAGGAGGAGCAGGAAACGGAGGAGGAGGAGGAGGAGGAGAAGGAGGAACAGCAACGGGAGGAGGAGGAGGAGGAGGAGGAGGAGGAGGAGGAGGAGGAGGAGGAGGAGGAGGAGGAGGAGGGAGAGACGGATGCAGGGGGAGGCGGAGGAGGAGGCGGAGGAAGATGCGGATGGAGGGGGAGGCGGAGGAGAGCGGGGGAGAAGTGTGATGAACAGGAGGATGCACCCGCGTCCTTGGTACGCGCGCGTGCACGCGTTCGCGTCGGGATGAACGACTGCATGAATTAATGCTTGTATGCACGTTTACGCATGTGTGTTTTGACATACATTGCAATTTCTCATGCACCGACGCTGCCAGGAGGTCGGGCGATATCCCGACCATCCGAAGGATCATTTTGATACGGCCTGTGCGGCCGAGGGGACTTTGAGAATCTAGATCCCCAATAATTGTTTTGTTGAGAACAACTTCTCAAACTCTTCTCCTCTCTCTCCTCTCCCTTTCCCGTCTCGTTTTTCGTATGATTTGCACAGGTATTTGCATGATTTCCCCAAATCCTTAACCAACGCTTTCCCTACACACTTGACAGCACTCGATGATTCATGCAATTCTCCTTCCCCTGACGATGTCCGGACGTTTTTAAACCAGCATTTCAACATGCTGATCGAAATCCGATTGTTTCCAGTGTTTGTAGAACGGTGCTTCCGCCGCAGTGCTGGCCTTCCTGTATGATCGGCACCTTGCTCCCGTCATTTAGAATGGCGCTCTCGCCCCAACGTGGGACACTTTTCTGAAACCGCATTCTTTCATCGTTTCATTTCCCTCATTTCCCCTCCTCCGCCTTCGTATGGTCCTCCTCCTCCCGCTCTTTCCACTCCAGCTCCTGCTGCTGCTGCTCTTCCTCGTCCTCATTTCTCATCCTCCTCTTGTTCCTCCTGCTCATCCTCTTGCTCATCCGCCACCTCCTCCTCCAATGTACGCAGCTCCCTTTTTCCGACTGCGCATAACACGATGGGGTTGTTTTTAGAGTTCCATGTTCGCTATGACGCGCGTTAGGGGATAGAGAAAGTCAGCGCATCGGGGAGGGATTGGTGGGGAGGGGTAGGGTGTCTGATATGGGCCGAGCGTACCTGGCTTGTCCTTTTTCTCCTCCCTCCCTGATGCTGCTCCTGCTCCACCTCCGTCCAGAACGCTTCGGAGACCCTTGAGCTTCCATCCGCTCCCAAAGACTCCCGGGAACCTTCCGCCCTCCCAGCGTCGCGTCCCTGAGCTTGCCAGACGTGGTGCAGTCAGGACGCTGAAATAAGGACTGTGCTGGGCTCGGGAGGGGCCCCTGCTTTTCGTTCCGTGCCCAAGATTTCTATCGTCTTGGCATCGCTCGGACGTGTGCATTTTTCCTTCGGCGAGGACAGTCGAGGAGCATCCTTGATCATTTGGCGAAAAAAAAAACACGCACGGAACCGAAACGAACACAGGGAAGGGACGTCCGAGCGATGGCGAGTCGTGGAAGCTGCTCATGGCGCAGGCCCGCCGTCGCCAGGCGAGCCCCTCCGTCCCCGCTCGTGAGCTCCTTCTGGCAGCGCGATGGCTGCACCCCTCGCGCTTTCATGTGCTGCCCCTTCCTCGTCCTGGGGGGAGGAGGGAGGAGGAAGAAAAACAGGAGATGGAGGACTGCGAGGACGAGTAGGACGAGAAGGAGGAGGAAGGAGGAGGAGGAGGAGGAGGAGGAGGAGGAGGAGGAGGAGGAGGAGGAGGAGGAGGAGGAGGAGGAGGAGGAGGAGGAGGAGGAGGAGGAGGGAGGAGGAGGAGGGAGGAGGAGGAGGAGGAGGAGGAGGAGGGAGGAGGAGGAGGAGGAGGGGAGGGGGAGGGGGAGGGGGAGGGGGGGGGAGGGGGAGGGGAGGAGGAGGAGGAGGAGGAGGAGGAGGAGGGGGAGGGGGAGGGGGAGGGGGAGGAGGAGGAAGAATAACAGGAGGAGGAGGAGGAAGGAGGAGGAGGAGGAGGAGGAGGAGGAGGAGGAGGAGGGGGAGGAGGAGGAGGGGGAGGACAATGGCGAGCTTGGGGGCCTCTTGGGCCGTCTTTGGGGCCTCTTGGCGGTCCCGGGGGCCTCTTGCGTATGTCGGGGAGCCTCTTGTGGCCTCTTGGGGGCCTCTTGGGGGCCTCTTGGGGCCCTCTTCGGGCGCTCTTGGGGAGCTCTTGGTGCCCTCTTGGGGCGCTCTTGGGGCGCTCTTGGGAGCCTTCGGGGCGCTTTTGGGGCCATCTTGGAGGAGATCTATCAAAGAAGGGGGGGTCGTATATTAGCGCTGCCCCTCTAGAGTGCCTCGAATCGCCTCTTGGGCCCTTCTTGAAGCCCAAATCCTTCCAAAACCTAAGGAAATCAATGTTTTGTGCTTTTTCGCTTTTTCGCTCTTGGAGCCGTCTTGGGCCATCTTGGGAGCCTCTTGTGGCCTCTTGGGGGTGTCTTGGGGGCCTCTTGGAGGCCTCTTGGGGGCCTCTTGGGGCCTCTTGGGGCCCTCTTGGGGCGCTCTTGGGGCGCTCTTGGGCGCCTTCGGGGCGCTCTTGGGGCCATCTTGGAGGAGATCTATCAAAGAAGGGGGGGGTCGTATATTAGCGCTGCCCCTCTAGAGTGCCTCGAATCGCCTCTTGGGCCCTTCTTGAAGCCCAAATCCTTCCAAAACCTGAGGAAAGTCAATGTTTTGTGCTTTTTCGCTTTTTCGCTTCCCCCCTCCCCCCCCTCTCTCCCTCCCCCCCGCTCTCGCCCTTCCCCCCCCCTTCCTCCCCCCCTCCCTCCCTCCAGCCTTTCTGTTGCTGCCGATGCTTGCCCTGACCTCTGTGCTCCTTCGTGGGCGCGCGCGAGGCCCGCCCAGATCCCTGGAGCCCGCGGGACCCTGCGGCCCTCCCTGCCCCCCGCCCCCCCTCCCTGGAAGCCCTGGACTCCTCCTCCTCCTCCTCCTCCTCCTCCTCCTCCTCCTCCTCCTCCTCCTCCGATCGGCGAGCAGCGGGCCGGCGGCTCCGCAGGTGCGAGCGGTCGGGCAGCTGGCAGCGGGCCACGCGGCTGCTGAGCGGCCTGCCCCGCATGAGGCCCTGCCCCGCCCCGCCCCTGCGGCCCCGGGGGCGGCGAGGAGTCGGAGGCCCAGGGGTTGGCACTGGCACCGGTGTCGGCGGCGCGCCTCCACCGAGGGTCGTGGAGGCCGATGAGTGGAGAGGAAGCACGCTGCAGCTGAATGAATTTCCATTTTTTGTTTTAAAAAACATGTTGTTTAACGCAGATTAAGAGCATGCTCCCACATGTTAAACACATATTTTTAAATCAATGATAGAACTGTCAGAGTGTGCATTGTCATGGCATCCACAAGCCGAGGGGGGATGCTCTCGATCTCGGCGATGGTAGTGGTAGCAGTCGGGTTTTCCTGGGTGGCCGAAGTGTCACCACCAGCACCAAAAACTATCTGAGCATCCTCCTCCCGTGGCCGCACCTCCCTGCTTTGGTGTTGGTCCCGTTTAGTTCGCTTCTTCCGCCAGCGCAGACGACCCCTGCCTAGCCGCCGACGCAAACCGTTTTGGTGTTGGTGCTTATTTCCAAGCCTCTACAGGAGCGGGCTACGCTGCACCTTCGGGGGAGCCCGCCTGGCTTCAAAGGTTGGCGTCTTCTCTCGTGCCCGACACGGGCTCGATGCGGACTCGACGAGGATGTGGCGCGGATTCGACGCGGATTCGTCGTGGATGCGACGCAGATTCGGCAAGTCGGGCATGGGTTGGACACGGATTCGACGCGGATAATGGCGCGACGGGACAGACAAGTTCCCCCGCAGGTGCAACATAAAAGGGGCGGGTGATGCGGACGCTTTCGTCGTCGAAGGGGGGCGGGGAGGATGTTTTCGTCGATTCCTGGAGGGTTCCTCGCCTCGGAGTGCTTTGCAGCAGCCGTGCCTCCTCGAGAGCGTTCCCATGGTGCCCAGACCTCGTCGATGGTCCGGAAGCCACCAAGCGTCGAGGGAGGTAAGGACTATAAGGGGGTTGATATCGTGGCTGGGGACGTGAGATCTCTCCCAGACGTCGTGCCCCCCTCCAGCTCTTTCAAAAACGTTGGTCCCCCCCTCGTCCGCCCACGTGTCTCGGGCCATGGCGGATGCACCTTCTGGCCGCCCCAGAGGTCCCTCGGGCCCCTCGGAGTCCCACTTTGGAAACAAGAAGAAATTCTGGGGATTCTTTTTTCCAAAAAATCATCGATCTTCGAGGGTTGGAAGCGGGACAACGTCAGAAGGCGAATCACATCTGAAAAAGTATGGGACAGTGGCGGGGAGGACGGAGGGAGTGAGGGAGGAAGAACAGGATGGGACGGAAGGGACCGAAACATTCGACGTCGCGTTTTTGCTTCGCAGCGTGACCTGATCCAGTGACTGGATCTTTATCCTGAGTCGCTTCCTGATGGCCGCGGGACCCAGGAAGGGCCCTCGGAGGCCGCAAATTGTGCATCATTTTTTCGTCGTGTTTGTTCCACTACGCGAGGATGACGGAGGCAGGAGATGAGAATGGGTGGTTGCCTGAAGCAGGAGGGGGGCGTGAGAGCGAGAGGGCGGGGCAGGATGGGGAGGAGACGGAGAGTGCAAGGGAGGGTCGAAACGGGGGCATCGGTGGGGCGCAGGACAGGGAGGAATCGCACACATTGGTTAAGGTGCGCGGATACATTAGGGGAAGTTCCCGTCTCCATGGGAAGATCGGCGCGCACTGTCGCCGAATCAGGCGGCATTCGCCTCATGGCTCCGAGGGGCGTCGGAGTGAAAAGCGAATACGTCGAATGTTCACAGCTCTACGGGACTCGTGCAGCGTGTTCTCGGTCGAATAGACGAACCGATTTGTTGGGGTAGATCAATTATGTAGTTGATCTCCTACTTTTTTTAGCGAATTTAATTGGTTCTAGGGTTTGAACAAATGGTCGCAGCCACGCAGAGGGCGCGCGTAGCGACGCCCCAAATGCTCGGTCTCCAGTACTTCTACGTGGCGGCGCCCCCGCAGGCACGCAGAGGGCACGCGTGGCGACGGGGGCGTCGCCACGCAGAGCTTCTAAAGACCAAACATTTTGAAAACCAATTGTTTCCACTACTAAAGTACTCGAATGACCTTTCGCGCCGCGCGCTGGAACAAAAACTAGCCGCTGGCGCTGCCCGGAACACCGCCATCCTCTGCAGCCCGCGCCCCGCTCTGCCCGTTCGCTTGAGCCGTTGCCGGCGCCGTTGGCCTCGTGCCGGCGCCGGTGGGCTCGTGCCGACCGCCCGGTCGCTTTCCCTTGGCGCTCGGCGGAAAGCCTGGCGGAGTTTTGCTCCCGAAGGGCGTCTGCCGAGTTTTTTCTTGTTTTTTGTTGATGCTTGTTTTTTATAATAAGAATAAAACGCACACACACATATATATATATATATATATATATATATATATTCACAAGACTGCATTGGCGCTGCGCGCCATGCACCTTGGTCCTTTGGAATTCGCACGCGAAAGTGGCCGAACCACCATAATGCAAGGCACCTCCGAAGTGAGACTTGCGAGAGTGTCTCAGGCGACAGTGGCTGGAACACCTCAACTGAGAGTGTCTCGGGCCCCAGAGCTGCGATGATGTCTCAAGCGAAAACGGCAGGACCGATGCGAAGCAAGGCGCTTCTGAGGTCGGAGTTGCGAGCATATCTCTGGCGAAGCGGATTAGACTACTACTTTCCGTTATCTCCTCTTCCTCCTTCCCTTCTTTTCTTTTTCTCTTCCTCCTCCTCCTCCTCCTCCCCCTCTTCCTCCTCCTCCTCCTCCTGTTCCTCCTCCTCTTCCTCTCCCCCCTCTCCGCATCTTTTTTTGTCCATTCTCCCCATCCCTGGCGGCGCGGCGCGGTGCCGCTCGGCCTCTCTGCGAGGTCAAGCGGCAAAGGGTGAGAACCCCCCCGAATTAGGAACGGTTTTTCCCAAGCCGCCAAGGGGGGAAAGGTAGTGCAAGAGGCGGTGCAGGTTTTGAAATCCCCCAGGGGCTCCTCGGATTCGGCCGGCCCTCTCCGGTAAGGTAGGCAAGGGCACCGCGTCCAGGTGTTCGATCCCCCGTATCCCCCTCCCCTCATCTTCGTTCCCTCCTCCATGTCCCCCTCCTCCTCGTCCTCGCCCCCCTTTTCCCCCTCATCCTCCTCCTCCCTCCCCCTCCTTCTCCTCCCTTGATGCCCCCGCGTGGTTTTCGGGCCATGACTCGGGCCTCTGGGGGCCGTTCGCGACGTTTCCGGCGCCCCCAAAACGCTTCCGGCGAGTCGCAGATACTGAAGGAAATCCGCAGCCGAGGTGTCGCAGAAGAAATCCGCAGCAGAGACTTGGGAGAGTGAGGAGAGCTGCTTCTGCTAGACCTTTGGCGGGGCGGAACGTGAAACGCCACGGGGAATTAGGAGGAGGAGGAGGAGGAGGAGGAGGAGGAGGAGGAGGAGGAGGAGGAGGAGGAGGAGGAGGAGGAGGAGGAAGAGGATGAGGAAGAGGAGGAGGAGCTCTTGGGTCTTTCGGTGGTTTGACCGAAAAATGGCCTCGCTGCGCCATGTGATACGACAACGACGACGACGAAGAAGGCGACGACAAAGAGAAGGGATAATGAGAGGGGGAGACCGCTGCGTTGGGATCTCGTGGCGCGCCTCTCGGGGCCCTCTGGGAGGCAGTTTTGAAGCCTCTTGGGGGTGTTTTGGGGTTCTTGGGATCTTTTTGGGGCCTCTTGGGGACCACTTGGGGGCTCCTTGGGGCCTCTTGGGAGCCTCTTGGGGCTTCGCGGGGCTCTCGCTGGGCCTCTTGCTCTTGGGGCCCTCTCGCGGCGGAACATATATATATATATATTTATATATATATATATATATATATATATGTACATCTATAATATTATAATATATATATGTATATGTACACATATATATTTGTGCGTGTATGTATATATATAAATATATATGAATGCTTGGACGCCCTCTTGGGTCTCTCTTGGGGCCGTCTTGGTGCTCTCTTGGGCCGTCTCGGGCGCCTCTTGGGCGGTCTCGGAGCCCCCCTGGACCGTGTCGGGGCCTTTTTGGGGGCCTCGTGGGCAATATTGGGGCGATCTAGGAAGCCTCTTGGGCCATTGTGGGGCGTCGGGGGGCGGGGAAAGCGAAAAGGCCAAAACCATCGAACAACACGCAGGAACATTAAACAATTGTAGCCTCTCGGGGCTCTCTTGGGAGGCCTCTTGAGGGTCTCTGGGGGCGTCTTCGACGCGTCTTGGGCAGTCTTGGGCCCATATTGGGCGTCTTGGGCCGATCTTTGGGTGTCTCGGGGCCCTCTTTGGCCGTCGTGGGGTTTCTTCTTTTCGCGTCGCACTCGCAGGACAGACGCGGAGCACTCTGCAGGGGCGCCCCAAAGGCTCGGGGAAGCCGAAATTCGTTGGGGGGGGGATGAAGCACCGCGTGCCGCTTTTCCGGGGTCCCCGGCCCTGAAAAACTATATAAATAGGAGTGTATATATATACATATATGCATATACATATATATATATAGTGAATATATATATATATATATATATATATATATATATATATATATATTATATATTCTATATCATATATATATATGGACCAAATAACTCCCTCGCTGGGGCCGTCCAGGGGTTCCCCGTGCCCCGGCAGGGGTTCCTGGGGGGCCCTTCGCCCGACCTCGTGCCGGCGCCGTTGGGCTCGCGCGTTCTTCGCGCCGCGCGCGCGCGGAAAAACTAGGCGGGCTCCCTGACATGGGGCGATCTGATGTTTGTCAGTCCGCTGTCCCGGAATTTCCGACCGCTCCCGGGGGATTCTTTTCGTTCCGGATCTATTTTGATGCCCCTTGGGTCCGACAAACCGCCGGTTGAAGAAATCATTTGGTCGGAGCAGGAGGGGGTGTGCATCGACCCCCAATCTCCGACTCATGGCGGCGAGGGGGCAGTGATAGCCCACCGGCCCCGAGGAACGTGCGGCTTCGTCATTGGGGGCCCATCGCCGACTTATCGGCGATCTATCGCCGATTCCATGTCGATATGTCCCCCCCCCCTCTGAGCCGGTCCCCTCCGAATGTTCCCGCTTAAGCTTGTGATAGGAATCGGAGGCCAAGAGGTTGACAACAACACCATCATCGGCGGTGTGCTTCCACCGACGGAAATTTGATCCCCATCTCGGTGATGGTGGTAATATTCGGCTTCCTAGGTGGCCGAAACATTACCGCCAGCACCGAAATCGAGAATCATCTTCCCCCTGTGGAGGCACCCCCCCTGAGTTGGTGTTGGTGCCCATTCCCAAGCCTCCAAGGGACTTTCCGTCCCCTGGGTCCTTCTGTGGTGGCTCCGCCGGTCCCCGTCGTGCACCCAGCCGCCTTTGATGGGGCCCGCAAGCTGTCTCGGGTGTTGCCATGGAGTGGCCCTGGCCCCCCGAGGGCCCCAGCTTCCCCAGGGAGGCGCAAAAAGGGCCCCCAGAGCGCCCTTCACGAGGCCCAAAGCATTCATCCTCGGCCAAGGCTCGGCGGCGGTGCGCGAGGGGGGGGGGGGGAGGTGAGAAGGAGAAGGCCTTCTCAGAAGGTGGCGGGACTTCTCAGAAGTCCTCGCGCCTTGTGAGAAGTTTGTTTCCTGTGTTCGGGGAAGGCTGAGAAAACGTCTCAGAAGGCTGGGGGACTTCCAAACCTTCTGAGAAGGCCTTTTCCTTCTCACTTGCCCCCCAATCGCTCGCCGCCGAAAGATAAGGACGACGGGGTGTCAGCGAGTCCCCTCTAACGCTCTAGCGTTGCCCCCCATAGCCACCCGACCTTTTTTTCTCAATCGGCGCTCTCCGTCGCCAAACCAGGCGGCAATGGCCGCAATTTTCGGAGGTATCCGCGAAATGAGGACTGCTGCGTTAAGAAAACTTTTGGGCTTCTGGCGCTTGTTGGTCGCATGGTCGCCCGGAGCGCAGCGTTCCGCGCGTGTGAGCTCGAGGACGGGTCGCCTGCGCTTAGGATGCGACACAAGCCGTCTTGCGGCCCACCCAGAAGGGCGCAGGCGAGCGGCGTGCTGCGAGAAACTTTGCCTGTTGGCTAGCGGCGGATTTTGCTCTGGCGCCACCCGCGCGCGCTTGTTGAACTACTCCTGTCGCGCAGACCCCGTGGGATTCTTCAGAGGCCTCCTCTCCTCGCGTCCCGTCCCAGCCGAAAACATAACGCTGCCAGTGTTGCCCCGAACGTCGCCACCTTCCGCAGCACGGTGGCCTGCTGCGAGCTGGCCGGCGAGTGGCAGTGGGCGCTGGAGGTGCTTCGGCTATTGGAGGAGCGGCCCCCTGGGACGGCCACGCGTCGCGATACCGCGGGAGGAGGAGGAGGAGGAGGAGGAGGAGGAGGAGGAGGAGGAGGAGGAGGAGGAGGAAAAAGGAGGAAGAGGAGGAGGAGGAGGAGGAGGAGGAGGAGGAGGAGGAGGAGAAGGAGGAGGA